AAAAATTAATTTTTAGGATTATGATGATCACTTACTGAGTAGCCAAACTCATCAAACTATGGTAAATATTTTTTCAGGATAACTGCGGATTCATTTTGAGTGCTAGTCAAGATCAACCTTGGAAGATACTGTTGTTGTACTAGCTTTCTTTATTTACTTTGTAAGACCTCGCCACTGTAAATTTGTCATATTAATAGATGTATATATGTTTTGTCTGTCACATCTCAGGAATAACAGTATTGTAAATTCTTGGGGTGTGACAAAGAGTTATTGTAATAAGACTACTTGTAAGTGATTTTTGTCAAAAGAGAAGAAAAGAAAAAGGGTGAGAAAAAAAAAAATCCCCAGCAAGATTATATTGATCAAACTTTCAAAACAATCGTTTTTCATAAATAAAACAAAATGTTACCATTCAATAGATATCCATAATTCCCACCCGAAAACTCAAAACCCAAAAAATTTCAAAACAATCATTTTTTTTGTTTTTTTGGGAGTAATTCAATGGGGAACACATGCCTTTACCCTTTTTTTCAAGTAGAGAACACAAGCCCTACCTGTTTTTCTAAGTAGATTAGGAGTTAGCTTTTTGAAAATATTAGTGGGGTGGTCTTAGTGGTGGGAATAAAAACCACAACATGATGACTAGGGTGTGGAATGCTACCACCACGACCGAACCCTTTTTCCAAAAAATTATTTTTATAAAAAAAATATCGATATGTTTACCATTGCAACTAAGCTGAAAGGTAAGTAGGTTACGACTTACGACCTTTAAATACAACCAATTTGTATCCTTCCCCCCTTTTCTTTCTCTATACTGATTCTCCATTTTAGCGACATTTCATTTAAACTGAGGACAAGAAAAATTGAAACTCAGTGTCAGAATGAATCTTAGTTTGGAAGTGACTGTTAGATTTTCTTAAACTCAATTTTGTAATTTTTTTTTTCAAAGAAAAAAAAAAACCCCAAACTACACTTTCTATGCAACTTACACCCAACCTACCTTTTTCTCTCGCTTTTTTCCCTAAAATACACTTTCTATGTAAATACCCCCCAACCAAATAAAAAAATACCTAAACTACCCTACCTTACTTTTACCTTACCCATGCCTCTCTCTCCTCTATCCCACCAAAATAGGGCTACCGCACTGTGTAAGTGCGGTCCAGCAGTAGAACACTCTGTAAAAGGAGGTTTGGTAGTAGATGTTTGTGGTCCGACAGTTGCAAAGGGCGGTCCGCAGTAGATGCTACTGGATTTCAAGGCTCTGGCAAATTCGTAGGTTCAATTCCTGCTGGATGCACGCCAATTGGAATGTTTAATAAGTCCATTGGAATTGGCTCTGTATCAATGGAATCTCATCATCCATGCATAACGAATTGGTATGGTATATTCATACTATAACATATGAACAGTAAGAACTAGAATTCTTATCAATACTGGAATTCATAGGGAAGAAAATGGATTTATGGATGGAATCAAGGCTCCGGTACTATGTAAAAGGTTGTCTGACAGTTCTCAGTTTCGGTCCAGTAGTTGTCTTAGGGCGAGCTGTCTAGAAATGTGATGGTGTGCTCCAGCAATGTGCTACTGGCGTTCAAAAGTCGCTGGGGCCCAAAAGTAAACGTCAAATCTAGCCAAAATGATTTTTGTGCACGGGAAGAGCATTTCCATCTAAAAAATGCACTTCTTTCCTTGAGGGGTATTTGCATAGAAAGTTTGTTTTGGGGAAAAAAATGAGAAAAAAGTTTAGGTTGGGGGTAAGTTGCATAGAAAGTGTTTTCTTGATTTTTTTTTTGCAATTTTCCCTATTTTCAACCAGGAATATGAGGTCTAGCCTAGATGTTGTTGTAGGCATATTAAACAACTTATCTTTACCTAGGGGTGGTAATGGGTTGGGTCGGGCCCATGTCCGGCCTGAATTGTACCCAGACCTAAAAAAGTATTATGGGACCACGATCAGGACCCGGACCTAACTGGACCCGAAGTCATAGGACCAGGACTCGAACCAAAAAATATAATGTGGGTACTTAGACCCAATGGTACCTAACCCATAT